GTTCAAAACAATAATTGGACTGGACATACGAATGGGATAATCTGTGTCAATTATTATAGCTTGATTTATGTAGATCCGATTGAGTTCCCTTAATATCTTTGAAAAAGTCGAGGAACTTAATTATAAATATAATTAAACTCTAATGTCAAACCTAAACTTTAATTAAATAAAAGTAAGAAAATCGTCTTTTTTTACTGTTCGGTGAAACCCTCAAACGTACGGGATCATTATACAAGTAATAAGAGTGTGAGTTAAAAATATTGTTCCCATAAGGAATAAGGTCTAATATCTACTTCAATAGCTGCTATTCAATTCGAAGTGTGGTTATAATAATAATAATAATAATAATAATAATAATAATAATAATAATAATAATAATAATAATAATAATAAAATTGTAATATGTTTGTTATTTATTCTAATTCTACTCTAAAAAAGTGATAAAAATTGATTAAATCTAATGTGAATGTTTGTGTTAGAATTCTGAATTTCCCTATTTTCATTTATTTCAGTTTTTAATTGGTAATCTAGTAAATTCATACATTCAAGATAATCGTAATTGGTAATCTAGTAAATTCATACATTCAAGACAATCGACAATCCACTTCTATTCAATATTCTTTTCCAAAGTATATTAAACTTATATTTAACACGACCCGATCATGTGCCTAGTTTAAATTCATATAAAAATATGCATTGATTTACAAGATTTATCACACATGATCGCTCATGTATTGATTTTGCCGCATTCTAAATTTATTGTGAGTATTTATACACTATAACAAGCAACTTACCATCTAATTGGTGATTACACAATCGAATATTTCAATCGGAATGCAGAAGAACCAATAAAGAAAATCAAGAAATATTAAATTATTTGTCTTGAAGTAAAATAAAAAATAATAGGATTCATCATTCATTTATCATTCATCCAATACCAATGAAAAATCTAGTCAACCATCATAATTATTAAATTATACAAGAAAAAATAAAAAGACACCATCCGGATCAAATAAATACGGAAGAAGGTACAAAAATCCACTTTTTTGAATGAAATTTTGATTTTGGATGGATAATTTTCAAGAATCTTGAACAATTCTTTTGATATTGATAATCTAATTTTCTTCTTCGTTCTCCAAAATATGTTGAATCTATGAATTTTTAGGTCTTGGGAGGTCTCCACATGGGATTATGGTATTTAAGGGATGCCCAAAAGATTGTTACCAAAGTAGAGTTTCAATTAGAAAAGAAAACAAAATCTCGCCTCGAAAAAATACTATGCGATCGCATAGTACAAATAAACGTGGCCATATAGAAGAAATCATAGGTACTCCCGAGAGATCTGAAGGCATAGATGCAATAACATCTAATTAAGCCTACGCGATAGCATAGGTATAATTTTTTCTCGATGGACGGCCTTAAGTATTTTGATCATATCTTTCTCTCTCTTTTATCCGATTGAAGTGATCCAAAGTGCGTTGGAAAACTAACTCAAATGACTACAATTCTTCAAGAGAAGTTGAGAGAGCTAAGGAATGCAGGAACGCAAGAGGATGCTCGTACATTCAAGATATCTTTTTCCAATTCGAATGTTTTCTATGCCAAAAATTGGTCTCATACTAAGACTGAAAATTCAAAGAATAATTTTTTCACCTGAAAGTTGATATGTGATAATACTTTAACTATATTTCATCCCTTTGACTTCTTTCTTCATCCAATTGACGTCTAACACTCTTGAATTTTCATCGTGGGGTTTGACAACTATTGAATATTTGCACTTTGGTCTCCAAACTTTATATTTGCTTCATTTCAGCCATTTTTTTCTTTTAATCTTGTTCCGTTATCTTCCAATTGTATCCATTTAAATCCTTGGCATTTTTATCTTCATTTTGTCACCCTTAAACCACTACTCTTTGTGTGGGTTCGTGCACCGAACCTCGCGCTTTCACTACTATTTGTATGTTTACCAAAAATACACCTAGAAAATGTAACTGTCACTACTATAACTTAAAATAGACGTATCCATATAGATTTGAGACTAAAGATAACTATCAATAGAACAATTCGTGTGAATATTCCAACTATATTGAGTATCATATATGTAACGATTGTTGTAGGATGGATTGTTTGCAATTTAGTCCCTGAATTTTGGATTTATCCCATTTTTCACTATTTTTTCATCCTTTTCTCCAATTTCCCATCAAACATTGAGTTTTTCCTAAAAAATATAATATAACACAAATTAGGTAGTATTTTATTGAACAATAATATATCATTTTTAGAACCTCGAATAAGTGTAGAAACTACACTTATCGTTTACCACATGATAAATTTGACCAAATACTTAGGAAGAATTTTAGTTAATTAGAACTCAAATCTCAAGTTCTTAAAATAAAACAATGACCCAAGTCTTCTTAGACAAACTCGTTCATGTCTATTTAAAGACTTGAAAACTGAATTATTCAGTATTATTTTCAATCTCTGGAAACTAATAACAAGTCTTTTGTTTTTGAATAGGTCTTTGTTGAGTTAACAACTCAAGTGGTCACTAAACTTTGCAAAAAGTTTTTGTGGAGTAACTGAATTTTAAAAATCACCCAAAATCATCACTGAACTTTTCAAAAGATTTTTACAGGGTCACTGAACTTTGTAAAATATTTCCATGAGGTCACTAACCTTTAAAAATTATTCCATTCATCACTGAACTCTACAAAAAGTTTCCTAGGAGTTCAATGACCCATGGAAAACTTTTCGCAAAGTTCAGTGACTCCATGGAATTTTTTTACATAGTGCAGTGATGAATGAAGTGAATTTTAAAGTTCAGTGACTTCGTGTAGACCTTTTGCAAAGTTCAGTGAGGTCTTATGTGATTTTTAAAATTCAATGATCCGATGAAATTTTTTTGCAAAGTTCAGTGATTAATTTGGATTATTATAAAATCAAGAATCTTGGTGTTTGTTCACGAAGTGTAATGTAAACTTGTCGAATACTATAAAATATTTTAGAGTTGGAAGCAATTCAAGAAGATCAAGATTGCTGATTCAAAGTTAGAGATTTAGATTCCGTGGAACTTATCACTAGTCAGGTATTCTACTACAAAAACCTACATAATTAATTATATAGATCTGCAACATATACTATATTTTTGAAAAGATCATTATCCTAAATTAATGAATTTTTATTTTTTGTTGTTTCAAGTGTTTCAAGACTAAATTTCCATAAAGTTCATCTTCCAAGTATTAAGAAGCTAAGCCCGTGAAAGCACTTGTATAACCTTGATAGAGATATTCAATGTTGCCTAGCTGAGGCCAGGCTAACTTGAATTTCAAATGGACTCCATTACACAATTATTAAAGGATAAATATATATGTACCGAATTTGAATTATGGAATTGGTTATCTACTCTCACATGCACATGCGTCCCTCGTGCATTTAAAAATTTTGGAGTGTGTGACCCATCCTCTTTTTGTGAGTGTAGGTAAAAAATTCAGTAAAAAATTGGATGTACATCTAGCATGGTCCATTATTAAAATACTGGTTAGTATCCTTAAAAAGCCCGTAAAAGCACTGCTCAAGGAATTCATTAGTTCATCTTGCTGAGAAACTGGTAAGAAGCCTCAAAAAGCCTGTGTAAGAACTTGCATAACCTTGATGGACATACAATTTTCCTAGTGGACGCTCGGCTAACTTGAGTGTTGAAGGACTTTATTAAATCGCTACGTTATTCTATTTAAGGATTCTCACACATTTAGATCGTTGAAAGGAATTTGGTGTCACCATACTGTATATGGCTAATGCAACTAGATGTTTTTCCAAAGGATCCAAAATTCCGGTAACTACGTACAAAACCAGAATCCACAAATAATCTGTAGAGGGATCAAGCAAATTCAGCATTTATATTCTCCCACTCCATGTCCATTTCTGTAAAATGGACTTTCACTTGTACAGTTGTACCCAAGATGAGGAGAAAATGTCGACGACATAACATTTACACCCGAATGTCCGATAAAATACAGAAAATTTTACTCCCGCTGCACGTAATTATACAACTCAGATACGCAACTTAATGGACTATAATCACAAAATCACTAGCATACCTCTAACTGTACATAGCATGTATAGACAAGATGAATGATAGAGCCCTGAAACTGAAATGCCATGAATGGACAATGATCTTCACCATCACTTCTACTTCTGGATGTATGATCCAATGACTCCAAACGCTAATGATCAGTATCATTAATGCTGCTGCAGATGCATGGAACACGATCGTTAAACCACAAAACGTTGAATTATTTTCTGGCGACTATATGGCTGAGGCAAGTATCCATACACGAAATTCTTCATGTGATTACAGAAATAAAGAAAGGTGTATAGATGCAGAATCTAGGGAGGCAAATAAGTCAAATGCTGATTGTCGAATGCGATGTTCACAAATTTTCTTTTTCCAAAGGAATGTTGACCGTCCTTTCATGGCATAAATCAGGCAGTAAGTTTCTTAATTGATTGATCAACTTCTCTTCCAATGCACGTTCTTTTCTGGGGATTGAATTGGGCCCCAAATACATACGATCTAGCCTCACATCACAGTCAATATGCACTTGAGTGTTGTACCAATATTAGCCTTAAAAGAATAAACAACTTCTAT